TTCCTGAATTCCCACTTGATACCTCTTAATGTGTAATGAAAATATGTACATTTTAATTATCAGTTAAAGGAAACAGTAGCATTGCACAATTCCACTAAAGATCAAAAGAAGGAACAGCAACGAAACAACCACCATTTGGTTTAATGGAAAGAAAATTATCTCTGTTTTATAGAGGGGGAGGAGTGAAACCATGAATACAGGTATTTGCCTTTGTCCATTCAAAGTGTCCGCTCGTCCGTCCAACAATTTGGTGTGTGTGTGTGTGTACAAAAATCACACCTGCTGATTGTCCAACATTTACCCAAATGAAATGTGAAACCTCTAACTGCGAATAGCAAACACCACCTCCGAAAAAAAAACAAAAAACCCCAAACGATTTATTTCAAACATTTTCGTTGCGATTATTTTACATAATTTAGCATTAAATTACTGGACATTGCGGCATAGCTGCCGCAGCAGAGTTGGAATTTATTGTCACATTTATTTCTTTTCTCAATTTAGGATTTTTTTATAATTCAATTTCAATAAATCAAATACAAAAGGACAAGAAACGAAAAAAACGCAAAACAAAACCGACAACATTTGTTCAAAATGTCAACGAGATTGAGAGTCGATCTGATGCGGACAGGTCTCGTTGGCCCATTCAAGTGAAATATTTACAATAATCACGCAAATATTTTAATTTATAATTTAATACATTTAATCGCAGATATTTTTATTTAAATGGACTCACTCATTGCATTACGCTAATCGCCACATTCGTCTGAACAATTATTTGCACACAATTTACTGTCAATCACTTGGCCCAAATAACCCGACAACTGAACACGGCTGAACATTTAAAATAAAATTCAATAAATCTATCAGATTACAGCATATTTCGTGTGTAATGCATGAAAATCATTTAAAAATTGGTGAATATATTATGCAAAATGCAAAAAAAAAAATTAATAAATAAATGAAAATATTTAACATTTACCAAGTGGGCAAGTGGGTTTGGATTTAATTTCAAAGATAAAGGAAGAGGTGTGGAAATATTGAAAACACATAGCAGAATAAGCTAAGATTTTAGTATGGTTCGTTAAGGTATTCGATAGAAATGTATTAATTGATAATGCATTAAAGACTTCAGCAAGTTTACAAACAATTCCTGATATGTACTTGTCTAAAAAACACACTATGAACATCCATTCGGTTATACATACATCGTGTCTTTCAGCTTGATTATAAAAATTCACAAGTCCTCCAATGGTTAATGAAGAGTTAATAACTTCTTCACGCCCCTTTATATTCTCTTCAGCTCAATAAATAGACTCTCGTCTGAAAAAAACCGTTTTCTTAGGGAGTCTATTAAGAACTTCAAGACTACGACTAAGCCAACTAAGAGTCAAAGAGCATTTTCCTCGGCCTTCAGCTTACCTAAATATACCTTGTGGATATTAACATGTCTATAAAAGCCTTTGAATTATTCTATAAATACTCCCTGAACTTTTGTTCTTCAAAAAGGCTCCTTGGTCTACCGGCTCTATATATAAACATCTTGTCCTTCACGTTTTCTATAAATACTTTTCAATCTTCCTTCCGCTCTTGCAGGTCGACTAAAGATTTTACTTGCTACTCACACTTTTAATATCCGAATAACTTCTCTCCCATTCAGCTCGTCCACACAGACCACCTTCCGATCTCTATATAAAGTCTCCCATTGTTTAGCCCATCCATAAAGATTCCTTGTCTTTAGCTCGTCCATAAAAGCTCCCTGCTCTATTCTCGTTTATTCAGGCACCATCCTTTAACTCGTCTATAGAGATTCCTTTCATCCCCATTCAGATTGTCTATAAAGATCCCCTTAAGCTCGTCTGTAGAGACGCTCTCTATATAAAGTCTCCCGTTGTTTAGCCCATCCATAAAGATTCCTTGTCTTTAGCTCGTCCATAAAAGCTCCCTGCTCTATTCTCGTTTATTCAGGCGCCATTCTTTAACTCGTCTATAGAGATTCCGTTCATCCCCATTCAGATTGTCTATAAAGATCCCCTTAAGCTCGTCTGTAGAGACGCCTTTCAGTTCCTTTGTAGAGTCGACCTTCAGCACGTCTGTAGGCACGCCATTCTGCTCATCTGTAGAGACGCTATTCAGCTCGTGTGTAAAGGCGTCCTTCAGATCTTTTGTTGATACGAACTTCAGCTCCTTTGTAGAGACACCCCTCAGCTTGTATGTAGAAACGTCCTCTGCTTGACAATGAAGACCCACTTCGTCCACAAAGACTCCAAGCCTTCAGTTAGTCTATAAAGACTCCCTTCAATTCATCTATAAATACTTCCTTCAGTTCGCCTATAAAGACTGTCTTCAGTTCGTCTATAAAGACTGTCTCAAGCTCGTCTATAGACACTCCTTTTAGTTCTTATATAAAGACTCCCTTCAGCTGGTCTATAGAAACTCCCCTCAGCTTGTATATAGAGACTCCCTTCAGCTCAGTTCTATAGAGACGCTCTTCTGCACGTCTGTAGGGACGCCCTTCAACTCGTTTGTAAAGACGTGCTTCTGCTCCTTTGTAGATACGAACTTCAGCTCCTTTTTAAAGACGCCCTTCAGCTTGTATGTAGAAACGTCCTCTTACTTACTTACTTATAATAGCTTACATAAGCCGAGATTAAAAAGATTTCCAAGCGCGTCGGTCTTGTGCGCAAGTCCACCAATTTGGAAGACCACGTTCCAAGATGTTGTTTTCTACTTGGTCTTTCCATCTAATTCGTGGCCTTCCCCTTCTACGGGAACCATGAGTAGGCTCATTTTTATATGCCTTTTGAGCTGGGGCATTTTCATTCATCCGCACAACATGGCCTAGCCACCGTAGTCGCTGCAGCTCAATACGTCTGACTATGTCGATGTCGGCGTATAAATTGTAGAGCTCGTGGTTCATTCGACGCCGATATTCACCGTCGACGCAGATCGGCCCGTAGATCTTTCGGAGAATTTTTCTCTCAAACACCCCAAGAGCTGCCTCATCTGCTTGTGCAAGTACCCATGCTTCAGATCCATATAACAGCACGGGTAGTATCAGCGTCTTGTAAAGTGTGAGTTTAGTCTGGCGGGAGGTGGCTTGTTTCTAAACTGCTTACTTAGACAATAGTAGCATCTGTTGGCCATCACAATCCTTCTCCGAATTTCAAAACTGATGTCATTTGTTTTATTTATGGCGGTACCAAGAGATATAAAGTCTTTAACTACATCGAAGCTGTAGTTCTGGTCCGAGTCTACTGGACGTCTTGCGCGTTGATAACATCAGCTTGGTCTTTTCGCCGTTTACTGCCAGACCCACTTCGGCAGATTCCTTTTCAATTTGTTCAAAGGTGGCTGTTACCGCTCGCAATGTTCGACCCATTATATCGATGTCATCGGCGTAGGCGAGTAACATGTGTTGTTTGGTGTACAGAGTGCCATTTCTGTTCACCTTTGCGTCTCGTATGACCTTTTCCAGTAGGATGTTAAAAAGATCACACGACAAACTGTCACCTTGTCTGAATCCTCGTTCGGTATTGAAGGCCTCCGATAGGTCCTTTCCTACTTTAACTGCTGACCTTGTGCCACTTAAAGTTATCCTGCATAGCCGTATTAATCCTCTGAACCGATAGGGCTGTCATATGCAGCTTTATAGTCGGCAAATAGGTGGTATGTGTCGATGTGTTTTTCGTGGGTCTTTTCCAGGATTTGGCGGAGAGTGAAAATCTGGTCAATGGTGGATTTGCCAGGTCTGAAACCGCATTGGTATGGTCCGATGATGTCATTGACCATTGGCTTCAATCGTTCACATAGCACACTGGATAGCACTTTATATGCGATGGGAAGGGGACTTATTCCTCTATAGTTGGCACATATCGTTCCTTTTTTGTGCACGGGACACAGGATGCTGAGGTTCCAATCACTGGGCATGCATTCATCTAGCCAAATGGTGCTAATCAGCTGGTGCATGCTCCTTACCAGCATCTGGCCACCAGACTTGAATAGTTCGGCTGGTAACCCATCGGCTCCTGCTGCTTTGTTGTTCTTGAGCCGATTAATTGTTTTTATGACCTCATCTTGGCTAGGTGGTATACACTCTATACCATCATCTCTTATTGGTTCTGGGGTATCTTCTTCATCGCCACTATTTGATACTAGAAGCTTTTCGAAATGCTCCTTCCAGATCCTCAACACGCGGTCTGTATCTGTCACCAGGTTTCCTTCTTTATCTCTACAGGAGGATGTGCCTTCGGTTTGGTGTTTTACTCGTTGGTAAAATTTCCGCTCGTCCAAAAAGGGCTCACTTCAGCTCGTTCATAAAGACTCCAAGCCTTCAGTTCGTCTATTAATACTCCCTTCAGCTCGTCTGTGGAGACGCCCTTCAGCTAGACTATAGAGACGCCCTTCAGCTCGTCTGTAGAGACGCCCTTCAGCTCGTCTGTAGAGACGCCCTTCAGCTCGTCTGTAGAGACGCCCTTCAGCTCGTCTGTAGAGACGCCCTTCAGCTCGTCTGTAGAGACACCCTTCAGCTCGTCAATAAAGATTAACTTCGTAAGCCCCCTGCTCATTTATAAAGGTTCCTTCCCCCTCGTCTATAAAGACTAATTTCTTCCTTTTGTCAATAAAGACCACCTTCTTCGGCTGGTTTAAAAAGGTGTGTTCAAGTTCTGTTTTCCTCTTTCTTTGAGACTCCCTCCCTTCATATCTTCTATAGAAACTCGCCCCAGGTCTCGTCTATAGAGACTCCTTGTCTAAAAAACTCCCTTTAGCTCTTATAGAGACTCTTCTTCAGTTCGTCTGAAAATACTCACTGCCTTCATCTCCTCTGTACGAACAAGGCTTATAGGAAGCTTACGCCTTCAGAACTCGTCTGTATAAATTTTCATCCATTCATCGCTAAGGGCTGTCCTAAGTTATTTACTTCGTCTTCCTTCTAATCATATGCTTTAGAAAATTCTTATTTGATATTTTTACTAAATATTTCCCTTGTTCCCCTCTTGCAGGTCTGCCAACCAATAATGCCCGATGGAACAACATGTGCCGATCCCATAAATCAGGGCAGATATATAACAGACTTCCGTTGTGCCGGAGTTGGTTCCACCGAACGTATGTTAAAAGAAGTTTCACTTTCCTTTCCCAGTGGACATTCGAGTTTTACCTTCTATGGCATGGTTTACTTGGCGGTAAGTTCAGCAACATGCAATCTTAATTCTGATTCAAAATATTGAAATATTTCCAAATGTTGTGTTTTCAGATCTATTTACAATGTCGCATGACATGGCGTGGCTCGAAATTGATTCGCCACTTTTTACAATTTGTGGGTATTATGTTGGCCTGGTACACGGCCTTGAGTCGTGTTTCCGATTACAAACATCACTGGTCTGATGTTTTGGGTGGTTCATTGGTTGGAGCTATTACAGCCATTGTGGTGGTAAGTTGTGATTTTATTTTCAATTTTTTTTTGTTTATTTTCTTAGCTTTAAATGCATGCCGATTTTTTCTTAGTAACCTTCTTGCACCATTCGTTTTTATATTTATGACCTCTTTTTGATCTAAGTTAACCTGGTCTTTTATAGCCATGACTTTCTTCTTCTTGACTTTAATTTGAGGTTCGATGTTTTGTTTTTAAATCCACTGTACTAAAAATATGCTTCTTAGTTACAACATTTTCCTTTGCCAATTCTGTTTTTTGATCTTATCATATTTATTCACCCCTTAATTTTTTAGACTTTCTTGGTGCCGGAAAATTGGTTTAATTGGAACACCGTTTGGCCCACTGTTCACCCTAAAAAGAAATGAGGGAATAAATTTTTAATATGTTCTCTACTCAAAAAAAGACACTTAATTAAATAAAGTTTTTTTAAAAAATCATTGCAAAATTTAAGTGTTTATTTTAGGGCATAAGACAAGAAATTTCAGGGAAACAATTTAGGGTTTTTCTTCTATTTTATCCGTATTTCGCCGAAAATTTACGTATATAAACATAATCACTTTTTGTGTATAAGTATACAACTTGAGGATTATAGCAAGACCCTTCCGATAAATCTTGGAGTTCTATAAGTAGGAATAAATCTTAAAATAAAACTATATTATGAAATATACATTTTAAATTGCGTCTAAATCGCGTAATTCTCAAATTTGATGCGCATGCGGTTTCCAGAAAGTACTGAAGTTTATCTTCCAATCCATATATATTTTGCGAAATTTCATTTGACGGCTAAGATGTACCACACGTTGCATTGAAGTACCCAAAAACTAGTAAAACGCGAATAAACAAAAACTCCATATGCCATTAAAGCGCATCCGATTTTTGTGTGCAAAAATACATCGATTTATACCGATTTCAATACGGGCCATTTAGAGCCAAGGAGATTAATTGGGTTCATCTCTCTTTCGGCTGAAGTTTCTTAAGTTCTGTTTTCGAAAAAGATCAAAATCCGTATCAGGACATTTATTGAAGCGGAAATGATCTACAGAAAATGCAATTAAATCCGCGATATTTTGAACAACATTTTTTGTCAAATTTCGTGTTTTTGGAAGGCCAGTTCCCGCCGTTCTAGTAGATGGATTTTCACGAAGAAAATTTTATATCATCCGAAACGTAAAAAACCTTATTGATCGCGGGTACCCACATCATTCAGTTGACAGATCTAAAAATTTTGCCAGAAAAATAGGTTTTTTAGAAATTTGATCGCACAAAATTTCCAACTTCGGATGAGTATTACTCTGAAGCTGTGCTACATACACAACATATATATATTTAATTACTCAGATTCGCGACTACAATAATCTTATAAGGGACGTAGCCCCCATTTTGTTGGCTGCTAGTTTTACTTTGACACGAAGACAGTGAAAAGATTGGCGTAATCACAAATCGATAGAGAACATAAAAAAACTGGTTCGCCTCAACTTGTTTTTACACATTTTTTTACATTAAAGTAGACACAGCTTCCACCAAAATAAAATTTTGAGGTCAATATCATGAACAGTTTTCAACGAAAGATCAATTAATCCAAAACTATTCACTTTTTATACCCTTCCCCATACTGTGATACAGGGTATTATGTCTTTGTGCATATGTTTGTAACAGGCAAAAGGAATCGAGATAGACCCATGGTTCCTTTTGAGAATATGCATAGAATCACTTTCGTAGTCGATTTACGTATGTCCGTCCGTCCTTGTATTTTTGTTAACAAAGTACAGGTGGCATTTATGATCCGATTTGGATGAAATATGGCACAGTTCACTTATTATAAAACTCGGTTCAGATTTAGATATAGCTCCCATATATATTTTCGTCCGATTAAAGGTAAATGGGGCACCAAAGTCCCTATATATCATTCGATTTGCACGAAATTTGGCATAGAGTACTGAATTAGGTCCAGAATGATGTGTGCTAAGTTTCGTGAAAATCGGTCCAGATTTAGATATAGCTTCCATATATATTTTGGTCCGATTTTAGGTAAATCGGTCTCCAACGTCCCTATATATCTTTCGATTTGCACGAAATTTGGCATAGGGTACTGAATTGGGTCCGGAATGATGCGTGCTACGTTTCGTGAAAATCGGTCCAGATTTAGATATGGCTCCCATATATAGTTTCGTCTGATTTAAGGTAAATGGGGCACCAAAGTCCTTATATAGTTTTCGATTTGCACGAAATTTGGCATTAAGTACTGAATTAGATCAAAAATATTCCAAGTTTCGAGAAAATCGGTTCTGATTTAGATATAGCTCCCATATATAGTTTCGCCCGATTTAAGGTAAATGGTACACCAAAGTCACTATATATCTTTCGATTTGCACGAAATTTGGCATAGGGTACTGAATTGGGTCCAGAATGATATGTGCTAAGTTTCGTAAAAATCGGTTCAGATTTAGATATATATTTTTTCGTCCGATTTAATGTAAATTGTGCACTAAAGACCCAAAGATTGGCCGACCCGCACACAATTTCGTACAATGTACTGAAGTTACTATAACCTTTCCTATGTCAATTTTTCTTGAATCTGGTTCAGATTTACATATAGCTCCTATATATAATTTCGTCCGATTTTAAGTAAGTGGTGTACTAAAGACCCATAGCTAGGCCGATTGGCAAAACGTACTAAAATTAATATAAATTTATCTCGGGCAAGTTTCCTTGAAATCGGTTCAGATTTAGATATAGCATAGCTTCCATATATAATTTCGACCTATTCATGTTGATTGTAAACCGAATAATCAATGGGTGACGGATTGATATTACATTTTAAATAGCGTGCGAAAAGTTTGCTTAAAATCTATTTACAAAGTATGTAATAGATTGCAGAATGGCATGTGTATGGATTGAAGTTAGTCGGTTCGTTCAATTTCATGTCAATGTTCCTTCGAAAATACGCAACATCTTTTCAAAATGTTAGAGTTCCCCAAAGTGGTGTAGGGTATCGTATAGTCGGGCCAGTCCGACTGTGCTGCTTTCCTTACTGGTTTTCATATACTTAAGTAATTCCCGAGTTACAAAGGGGTGAACCTCCGCTTCAGCTATATTAAAAAATTGGCATTATTGCCCATATATATTAGTTTATTTTTGTGAAGTTGTATGTAACACGTAGTATGAAACAAGATAGACCTATAGCTTCTTTTGAGGATATACTAATAATCTCTTTCTGAATCGATTTATGCATATGGGCATTTCCGCCAAATGGTAAACCAAAATCATGTATATTTGAAGTCGCGTGAGTGACGATTTTTTATGGCTTTTATCTCGAAATTGATGAGAATCGTTTCAGTTTTACATATCGCTCTCATATATACTTTCGTTCGATTTTATTCAAATGGTACACTATGTGGGATTTGTTCGATAATTTCTTCCAGTGTTCAGTGGGCTAG